TGGGCCTCAGCGATACAAACAGCACATGATGCATACATTCATGTAAGCTACACATTTGAGACATTTATAAGATCACTGCAGATCTGTATGTCACTGAAAACTATTCAAGACCACGGGATTTTTGAACACTACTGTCATGTGTCCAACAAACTTTTTAGCAACGCCTGCGGGAGCGCTCGTCACGCAAAAACAGCGTCTGCGTAGGAGGTTAGCGTTAAACCTGATTAAATGTTTCTTTCCCCACTGTCTTCTCACCAACTTCTCCTGTAGAAAGATAAAATATCAAGTGTTCAACAGAGTAAAGAACAAATGAAGTACGCTATTCTTTGTATGGTAGGAATGCACTATTTCAGGACGTACCCTTGATTCGGACATCTTGGAGGTACCTTATTCAGGTGTGTATTTGAGACCGGGGGATTCTGGGCCTTGATATTTGCATTGCAAAAGATGCAGGACAAGCGAGTGTACCTGTCCCAGGAAATGTCAGCTGAGCAAGTCGTAGCTCAAATAAATAACTGGGACGCAGTATATAGTGGTACAACTCTGGTAATTCTGAGTTATCTGTGTTCTCAAAGAACTGGGAGTTCGAGCTGACCTAACCTGTTTTCTGTTGTCGCATAGAGGTCAGCTTTACGAAGACTTTTGCCGAGAGCGATGCTCGCAAACCATTCCGGAAGCATAAACAGTGATGAGAACGTCAGGGGTCGTTTGAATGAGCTGGAAGACACGGCAACGAGTTCCAGGTCTTCTTTTGCAGATATCTTTGACAGTACAAGCATTGAGGTGAGAAGTGAAATTATTTTCATAGAGATACAATCACTCACCACGGGCCCTGGCTTGAAAGAACAAAACAGTTGTATACTACAGGAACAGTGTACATGCATGTCGACGGATGTCGTGTGAATCTTGGGCATTAAAAAACCTTATTTTTAATTTATATAGCTAAAGGATATTAAAACACCTTCATTGGAACCATTGAAATTATTCTCTTAGCCTTGGAGGAAATTGTTTCTTCAGTTGTTCATTACTTAATATAATAATCTCTTCTTTAGAGGTTAAATTTTAATAGATAAGCTTAGCTCTTCTTGGTAGAAAATTGGTCGTGCAGTTAACTTGGTCTTGAAAGATATCCAACCCGGGGACCTGTGGAAGGCTCGTTCTACGTTTTACAGTACAGTTTTCAGACATTTATTGGTAGGGAAGTATAAATTGGAAATTTATAGTTTTGGCAGCAATATTATTTTAATTTTATCATTAGCTCAACCCATGATAACAGGAAGCGTTTTAAAAACATTTCGTCAACAACTTCAAGTTGACCTTGTCAGCCTGACCTTTTTAGAACTAAAAATTCTACAGCATGCGGCAAACTTAAAGCTGCAGAAAGCTGCAAGATTTGATCACCACACTGACAAAAACTAAAATCTGTTAGTGGGTGGATGAGAAGACTAAGTTGATGAATGGATCAAAACCACTTTCAGGTCACATAACCTGGTGTGATTAAACAAATTCGGCATCTCACTCCATTTAATATTCTAGTTAAAGTTTATAATAGCCTTGTTCAACCACATTTTGATCATTGCAATGTAGTGTGGGGAAAAACTGTTGGAAGGGCCTTTCTGAAAAACTCCAAAGGCTTCAAAATTGCACAACTTGCACCCTTATGTCTGCAAGCTATGATAGTAATTTGGATGATTTGTTCCGGGCACTGGGGTGGCCAAGACTCTACTATCAAAGATTGGAACAGAAGTCTGTCCTATTGTGTAAAACATTATGTGGTATGACTCCTGACTATCTGAGATCAAGATTCGTATATCATGACAATGTAAGTGCTTATCGTTTAAGGAATACTGAAAAAAAAAATTAGTTCTTCCACGACCTCAAACTGATTATCTTTAGAGAAGTTTTTGTACAGCGGAGCTCAGTTGTGGAACAACTTACCTACAGACCTAAGACAAACATCTTCATTGACTGATTTCAAATCTAAATTAAGTCTGATTGGGGTGTGCGGTCCGATTCCCATTTATGACCAAAATCTGTGATTTTCCCTAACCTATTTATCACCATACCAGAAATTTGATACCCTATTTATAACCATTGAGGCTGACACAGTTGCCCTAAACATAATTTTTGAAGGGCTTTTTTATGGTCTTATCAATACTGATGAAAAAGTAGCTTCTTGTAAACAACATACCCAATTCAAGACTAGAGTACAAAAACCATACCCTATTTAAGGCCAAAATTGATACCCTATTTATGACCAAAACAGCTGAAAAACCATACCCTTAGGGGCCGCACATACCTATACAGCCCATATAAGGGAGAACCCCCCTCCCCCAGGGCGATTTTCCCTACCCTATTTTTGACCTGACCCAAAATTTGATAGAGAGGGTAAGTTTCTAAAGAAACTGTGGTGCTGCGTCGGCGGAAGTATAACAAGATAATTTGGTTTTATCAACTGGGTTGATAATGTGAATTGGCCACCGTAAAGAGATTCGAAAGCTGACGTTTCAAGCGTTAGCCCTTCGTTGGAGCGAATCAAGGAACTGTGGGTTTTGTGTGGTTTATATACAGAAAGATGGAGCTACACTATTGGTTGGTGCATGGTAATGTGAAAAACAACAGATTAAATTAGTTGAATGAAAAGCATTCATTGATATGGCGAGGATTAAGAGTGCCGATTTGAAAAATAAATTTTTGTTCTAGAGTTTTGCAGCTTTCCTTGCTTCCTTGATGTAGGGAAAGGCCGCAGACTGCCATATGTTGCGTAGAATGATTGGGGAGATTAAAGTGTCTTGCGACCGGTTTAGATGCGTTTTTGTCATCTTTCTCTACGTCACGAAGGTGTTCTCGGAATCGGTTGCCTAGTCGTCTCCCTGTTTCGCTGATGTATAACTTTTTGCAAAGATTGCAAGTTATGCAGTAGATGACATTGGCTGAGCTACAGATGAAATGATCAGTGATCTTGATGGATCGTTTGGGTCCCAATATTTTCTCAACGTTGCAAATGAAAGGACATGTTTTGCATCGTGCGCGTGCGCATTTAAAAGTTCTGGGTTGATCACTAGTTTGGAATGCACTTCTGACTAAAAAGTTACCTATGTTTTTGTCATGTTTGAATGAAATTAATGGAGGTTGCGAAAAGATTCTACCAGTATCGGAATCATTTTGAAGTAATTTAAAATTTTTTAGAATGATGGATTTTATTGTGTGGTTGTGAGGGTGAAATTTGAGGGTGAATGGAATTCTATCATTATTTTCCTTCTGTGACGTTTGTAGTGCCGACTGTCGATCAATTTGTTGGGTGGGATGATAGCCCGCTTGAATGTAACAGAAGTAGGATAGCCACATTTATCAAAGAAATCGCACATTTCCTCTGAATTATGAGATTTAACTGTCACGCCAGTAAAATATAGTTAATAGAGCATGACGTACGTTCTGAATGAGCCGTTCATGGCAGCATCACTTTCTATAGAGCTATTGAGCGGTTATATTCCAAAGGTCAGCAAACTGTAAGCCTTATTGTGGCTAAACCTAAAACATTGTAGCTTTGTTACCATCTGAACGTTATATCGTACCATAGCATTGGTGCAAAGCATTAAAGCACTATTCATGTTTAAGATGTTACACGTGTTAGGGTAAGCTGTTCAGTAGTACAGCCTTTTCTACTGGCGTACAAGCAGATGAACATCTCCATATAAAAGCTTGGAAAACTGTTCAGAGTCCATTCTGAGTTCGTCTAAGCAATGTAGCTATTACTTATTGTAAATCTATCATTTAATTTTCCCTCCCTCCCTCCCCTTGGAGACAAGGTTGGTCATGTATTCCTGTATAATAAACAAAGGGTCACTCCTGTGTGGTGCGGTTAGGTCTGCGCAGCAACTTCCCCTAAGCTTGTTGTTTTTTCATTGCCTTTGAACATCGCTTGCTAACCGATACTCTTGTCCGATCCAGCACATGCTGTCTGTCATTCAGTTCGTAGTGCTGGGGAGATAAGTGAGGTTGTTTTGTCACGCTAACCCCGGAAGTTGCATGGGCTAACCAAACGCAAGGCAGTGTTCCCCCATTAACGCCATCACGAGTTGTTTCTATTTGAGTAATAGCTCTGGTTCAATTGCAAGTCGCCACAGTTAACTTACTTTCGCTAGGAACAATGACATTAATAAGGAAAAATCAGAGTCATCACTACAAAGAATAAGGAATGGAATTCTTGACATGTGATGGATTTGAAGATGAATACAGCAAATAATTATGAGAATCTGTGGGTTTGTAGTGCACATTGGTGCATAAACCATTGCCTTTGATGGAAACTTTGATATTAAAAAAAAAATTTGATACCCTATTTATGACCTGACGCTTAAATCAATACCCTGTTTCTGTTACCTAGTTCAAACCAATGTAAAAGGCATTGTGAAGGGCTTTTGTTGATGGTGTTATTGATAATTATGAAAAAGTAGCTTCTTCTCAAAAACATACCCAATTCAAGACTAGAGTGCAAAAACCAGACCCTATTTATGAGCAAAATGGCCAAAATTGATACCCTATTTATGACCAAAACTCATGATAAACCATACCTTTGGGGTCACACATACCTATATAGCCCATATAAGGGAGTACCCTCCTACTGGGGGGGGGGGGGGGCANGGGGGGGGGGGGGGGGGGGGGGGGGGGGGGGGGGGGGGGGGGGGGGGGGGGGGGGGGGGGGGGGGGGGGGGGGGGGGGGGCAGGATGCCCTGGCTACCAGGTTACTTGGCTATAACATGCAACTCACCTTTAGAAGTGGTACAGTCAGAGGGCAATCTTTTCAATGACCACTAAGCATAACAGAGACGAAGGCAGACAAAAGGAATGTTTTATCTTTTGTAGCCTTCTGACCTTGGCTAGCCAGGATACATGTAACCTGGCATGAACCATTTACATGGCAAAATGATAGCCCTCCTAGAAGGGTGCCTTGGGCAAGTAGACAGGGTTTCTTGGCGGGTAACCCTGCCAGGGTAACAAGGAAACACAAGTTTTCAATGTGAAAAGTTGGCTTTCCCAGAGTAGCTTGGCTAGCCAGGGCAGCCTCCCTCCATGTAAACAGGCCCTTAGCCAATAGAAAATTCCTTTTGGTGTGTCTGGTTATACTGAGGGTGGTAAAGGGGGGGGGGGGGGG